ATTTTAAATCACTGCAGCTTTTTATATGATCAAGATTGCGGTTTATGAAGATATTCTCTTAAAATAATAATGGAGCGAAACATTGTTAAAATCACTTTTGCCCACAAAGTGGCACTATTTATTAATAAACTCTTTCTCCTTAACTTTAAAGTACCACATAATAAATTCATTTCATCATAAAACTGGCGCAGTTTGAAACACTTTAGCTTGCGTTTGCGACTTATAACCTTGGATTGTGTAAATTGTTCATGTGTTCATTGTCTCAATTCAAATATAAAATCCAAAAACCTCAATTTAAGGGAATTTATATGGTTATTTACGAAAGTGGAAAGTGGAAAGTGGAAATCAAACTCGGAATTTTTTGAAGATTTATGACATTCTTTTGTAGCTGCTAATATTTTACTTAATAAGTTGCAACATCTTACACTGAAAAAACTTTTCATACCAGATGAGTTCACAGGGAAAATCCTATTTGCCAAACGCTTATTTGCATGGTATCCCAAAATTTCTTATGTAAAATTGTCCCCTGAATCCGAAAATGTCGTCAAAAGTTAAAAAAGTAGAACAGTTTTTGAGATATAGTCAATTTTCCATTTAATATGGAATTGACTATATCTCAAAAACTGCTCTACTTTCATAATTTTTGGCGGTACTTTTGGATTTATGGGAGAATTTTACATAAGAATTGGCTGTTAAATTTTGGCATACCATGTTATTCCATGGTTAACCATGGTACAAGTAAAAAAGCAGCCACTTTAGTACATGTATTACAATAACTATTAAATTAGTCATTTTTGACCAATTCATTTTTTGAGAGTAAGAATAAATTGTTGTTGTCCGCAAGAATTAAAAACGATTAAAGAAATTAGTTACTTTTTACCCTGAAACAGTCAAAAAAGGTGAATTTTTCAAACGTTAACTTAAGTAGTAAAAAATAACTGTTTAAAAGTGAAAACAACTATTTTATTAGTAAACAAAGATGGTATCAATTTAAAAGTAGAATTTTGACTATTTCATTTTAAGAGAGTACCTAATCATAATAAAAGTCTTAAAGAAACAAACAAATCCCCCACCCAGTGTAGTTCAGCGTATTAAGCAATCTTCCAACAAGAAAAATACTGTGCGAAATTAGTGCTAAGAATCACTTTCTATCCAGATGAAATCACTGTACCTATCCTCCGAAGTCGACAAGTAAATATACTGTACGTAAAAAAGCTACACTACCTGTGGAGGATAATGCAATGTACCCGTTTACCGAAGTAGCCAAAATACGACAGTATTAGTGGATTGCTGCAATAAACGATTTCAGTATTATTTCAGTTATATGTCATCCTAACGTTATAAGGTTTCTTTTTGCTTTTTAAATGAATTTTAAGAACATGTACTATGCTCCACACCTCAAAGTCCCACCACGTGACCACGTACGGAACGCAGTCTTTTGAAAATTTGGCATTTAAGGCTTTTCAGGTTATGTATCTGTCAAAGTATAGTCAACGAAAGAAATAATATTATGTTTAGGCGTTAAAAATGTTTAAATCTTTATAACATTACAATAACAATGGATGGTTTAAGAATTTAAGAATATAAATACTGCATTTAATGAAATTCTAAAGTGTATGGTGCGTAATAAGTAATATTTTTGTGCATTTGGTCCAAATATCTGGTTTTCTCCATAAAATAATTTTAACTAAACAGTATTTATTTAAAAAAATCTAGCTTCTCTATTATGGAATAAGAATATCTGTATTAAAGGTAGGTTAATATATTATAACAAAAATATCATCTAATTTTGTAATTTTAAGGTTAGAAAAATTTATTTTGACCAAAATAAATAAGTTTTTTGGATTATTTAAAAGACTGTATAATATGGTATTTAAAAATGTGGTAGTTTTTCTTATCCAGATTAAAGTGTACCTACATAAAGTTTTGTCAATACAAATAGTTAAAAAGCTTCGACTGAATTTGATCTACATAAAAAAATCATTTTAACTAAAAATTTTAATTAATCACATGTCATGGGGGTATTAAATATTTTCACATTGCAAGTTTCTCTAAAAATTGTTTGTTTTCTTATAATCTAACTTAAAGTAAGTATGCCGAGAGGTATGCACAAGTTTTGTCGTAAGAAGTATAAAAGCTTCAATTTAATTTGAACTATATTCAACAATTATTTAGTATACCTATATTTATTTATGACCATATTAACACACTCTTTCAAATATTCCACTTATTTATTTTGGTCAAAATAGATTTTTCTAACCTTAAAATACAAAATTAGATGATATTTTTTGTTCTAATACATTAACCTACCTTTGATACAGATATTCTTATTTCATAATAGAGAAGTTAGATTTTTTTTTGATTAATGCCGTTTATGGAAAAATGTAGACCCAATGCACAAAAATATCACTTATATTGCACCTTACACTTTGGAATTTCATTAAATGCAGTATTTATATTCCTAAATTCTTAAACCAGCCATTTTTATTGTGATACTATAAAGATTTATTAACTTTTAACGCTTAAACATAAGCGGTAAGACTATAAATATTATTTCTTTCATTGACTATACTTTGACACATACATAACCTGAAAAGCCTTAAATGCCAAATTTTCAAAAGACTGCGTTCCGTACGTGGTCACGTGGTGGGACTTTGAGGTGTGGAGCATAGTACACTTTAAAACATTATCCCCTAAACATTTATTTAATTATTAATCTAAATTTTTTTTCAGTATTGTACCAACCAGAACAAATGCTTCTGTGAACTTGGTTGGACTGGGACTGACTGCTCGATCCAGATTGAAATGACCCCACCGCCACCACTGCCGACACCACCTCCAGACATTACCACCACAAACTTACAAGAGCATATGAAAAAGAAAGAAACCCCCTACGGTACGTAAACCACTTTCTATATCAATTCTTGACTAACCCTAACTAATCATTCAAAATATTTGTTTGTTCGAGTGTGCGTCATTTTTTACTGGACAGTGAAAAATGACAGAAATTAATCAATTTTTAATTGTTAGTTTTTAGCACTACCATAAAAGTTATTTGAGCTGTTTGTCCAAAAAGGAACTAAACTTTTGAATTTTTTTTTAATTGATCTATTAATTTCTAAATTAAGTTTATATTCTTAAGACAGTTATATGTAGGCATAAGGGCGAATTTTCGTTAAATGTACATTTTGTATATATATTTTGTCCAGGCAGGTCAATTTGATCGATTTTTTTCCTTTGTGATAGAACAGTGTAATATACTGCAAAACAATTCTATAAGTTTATAAATAACAAAAATGAACTTTAAAGAAATAAAACTTGTAGGGTTAATCTGAAATAGGGAAGGAACACAAGGAAGAAATGAAACATTGTCCTCCTCCTAACGCATCTTCCTGAACGTTTTATGACACATTGCTTTTGACTTTTACAAACGTTATTTTTCGGAAATACTGTTAAATGTTAATATCTTTCGGCATTTGTTTGGAATTTCTACTATGCTATAATACAAAATGAAAATAAAAAAGGTAACTTCTAAAACAAGAGTTCTATGTAGCGTTTTGTAAAAGACACCAAAAGACAAGATTTTTGAATGTCAACTTTAGTATTTTTTTCTGTTTAAACTACTTTGTAGAAAACTATTTTAGTTTTATATACGAATAACAGAACTTTCCATTGTTCAAAAATAATTTATTTTTTCAGAAGAAAGCTGCAAAGAAGAAGAATATAATAATTTAAATTAAAAAATCGCCTCTGGGGACAGTTAGGTTACAGGACATTTCACCTAGTTTTTCTGCCATATATAGAAACATAAAGTAATTAAAAAAAATACGATGGAGGAAGGGGATATTTAAATATAATTAATACAAAATTTATCAAAAAGGTCAAAAATACAAATAAAATTAGCTGGGGACAGCAAATGTACATTTAACGAAAATTTGCCCATATATCAAAAGCTATACTCTAAAGAAGCATCGAACATTTTAGTGATGATTTACGTAAAAATAGTAAACATTTTAATTTAGTAAAAGTCATAAAACAAATAGGTCGTCTGCACTCAATGAAAAAAAAAACAAAAATAGGTATTATAGTATGTATTATATATAATATTTGTTGCCATAAATTGGTAGATAGATATATTTAGTCCTTTACTATTTTAAAATGCAGTTGTCGGCGTTTTTTAGAGGGCTCAAATATAAAAAAGTTTCATTTTAAGGTTATGTTTGTACAACATTTATTTTTTGTTAGATTTCTTAATGCCCAAACTTAAATATAAATTATATTAGGTAAGTTATCATTAGTTAATTCTGCACCAACAAGTATACCTACCGAAATGGATCCTTTGGCAAAACATAAAAACAATCAAAAACCCAATAATTTACCATGATCACACACACTAACGTAATATAATTTAGCTGTGCAATTAAAACTTTGCGAATAAAATTTGTCGAGTAAGACTTGTGCTTTCCTCTCTGCTCGTTGCGGAAACCCGATGCTTCTTTAGCGTATAGTAAATTTGTTCTTGTTTACATTATGGATTATATGTTAAATTTTAAATATTACGCTTACATTTTAACATAAAATTTTTTATTTAGTTACGACGATATTTTTGTTTTTTCCATACATATTCAAAAAATGTTACTCCTTTTTGGACAAAGTAGGGTATATATAACGTGTTTGGCCGTTTGGCTATCTATTACAGGTACACAACTGAACCAAATAACAATAATAATTTTAATATTTCTTAATACATTGTTATGGTGACTAACTTGCTTACTGCACAAACTAAAAAGTGACGTATACCTAACTCCTTGGAAGCAATACACTTTCTCGTACCCTTTTTCTCCTTTCCCTTACGTTTTGGTACGTACACAGAGCAAGCCGATAATAAATACGAGTATTGGCGTAAATATACAAAAAAGGATAAATCTGGACGTATTGGCACACGCCTTGTTTTAGGGGATCACGACAAGGGCAACTTGAGCACACTTTTTATGGTAGTCTTCCTAGTTATACTCGTCATGAGCGTCTTCGTTTGTTTTGCCGTTGTGGCGGTATGCTACAGGTACAAAACACGACAAAACGACACTTGTTCGGCACCAAAACACAACCTAAATTTAATCGCAACCTTACCTATCCAAATAACAACTTTAAGTACATCAATCAACTTTTCACATAACCTCATTCTTAATGAAGTCTTTAAGGTTTTTATCTTTGATATGTTTGGTTGTTTGTTGAAGTTTTTGCCATATTCGGTGTTGTTATCGCAGCCCTTTGTACATAAGCTTCCTGATTCTCGACTGGTGTATATTATACATGAATATTGTTTGTGATATGCTGTGTGTACTGTACATTTATTTATGGAAACTCGTGTAATTTATTAAATGGTGTTTTAGTATTAAAATTGATTAATCGTATGGTGACTAACGTTGGCAATGGGGCAAATTTTTAACTACTCGTATTTTGAAGTTTAGAAAGAACCCCCTGAATTTTGTGATTGACATTTATATTTTAAATTGATATTGTTTCTTAGTCGTGCAGTAAGCCAGAAAGTTAGTCACCATATTCACACGAGTGTCAATGTTACACGAGAACAACCAAAAATTAAAATTTACACACCTATTTATTTTAAATATCCCTAAAAAGATAATGAGGGTTCTGGTAAACTTCCATAATCAACATTTTTAACTTTAGTAAAAAATGTTGATTATAATTATAAAGAATAAAATGGAAATATGTTTGGTAGATAGGAAATGAGGGTTCTGGTACACTTCCATAATTATGGAACCAGAACCCTCATTTCTTATCTACCAAACGTATTTCCATTTTATTATTTGGAAAAATGTGTTGTGTCAAATTTGAGTTTTTGGTTTTATAGGAGAATTTATGTGACATTTTTTGAGTTTCAGATTTTTTTTATATTTGTTGTATAAATTATGTAATTTAAAAAACGAAACAAAAAACATTTACAAGAATAAGGAGCGATCATTTTAAAGTACTTTTGTACATTATTTTAAACAAAAAAAAAGTCCAACAAAAAATTTGTTTAATCGCTAAGTTTAAAAAAATTGACAATGACGTCTGTCTTTAAACTAAAATATTCCACATCTAAAAACAATTTAAATAAGGCAGCTGGTTGACATGGTTGACAGATGTATTTTTTGACAGTTTAAAAAATTACATATTTATTTACAATATACACTCACCGAAAAAAAAATGGCCACGAAAAATTAGCAACACTTTTAATGTTGATTTTCTCGCGAACCGCTCATCTGACATAATTTTTTTGTTGAAAATGTGACTCTTGAGTTACGATGCTATGGTAGAGTGCAAAAGTAAAAAATGTATGATCTGCGTGGAAATCATGATTTGTGCCCTATCTCAGGTGGCCTTTTTTTCCCGGTAAGTTAGGACTAAATTTTTATTCAAAAAAAAATCTGTCAAAAAATGTTTTATGAATTCTATTACTTAAAGGCCATTCTAGCGACCAAAAATATAGTAATTTTGACATTTTTTATAATATGTATAATGTAAAATACATTACAAATTTATTTTATCTACATAATAGAAACGTTTCTATTTAACTGTTAATAAAATGAGTACCTACTTTAAAGTTTATAGTAAGATTTTGTGTAATTAGTTTTTTCATAAAAAAAATATGCTTAATTTCGTTATTTTAAAAGAACAGTTTAATTTTAAGCTTAAAACATTTATAACATTAGGCCAAGAAGTGAGCCTGTTTGTACAGAGCGGCACACAACGTTTTATCTTCAAGTTGTAATGTTTTTCAGAATTTAAAGTTTATTTGAGATGTCGAACTTTATACAATCACACTAATGTCTAACTAATTAAAAACTCATAATGATTTTTATGGGCCTAGGTCATAGTGTAGAGTGTTTTAAAATAAAATAATTTATATATTAAATGTCTTAAAAGTGTCAATTTTGCTATATTTTTTAAAATTTACAATAGGTGGCATTAAGTGAAAATAAAAGTGTAATATTGTTCACTTGTGCTTGTATACTGCCTTGTACATTGTTTTATTTGGTGCTTTCCTTCTCTCTCTTCTCGCCTGTGTGTTGATGCATGATGCGTGGGGTGATGCCACGTTGCCGTCTCCTGCTCCGTCCACCGTCTGCCGGCGTCACGTCACGACACGTCACGACGCTGCCTTGCCACGTATGCAGAGGACTATCACGGGTCGAACACGATATTTCTCGTTTCAACTCTCATGTCGGTGGTAGGGGGTGTGTTCATTGTATTTGCAACAATGGCCCTTTGCTACAGGTCAGTCGTAGTACACAAAAACTTCTCGCTCTGTCTCAGGTTAGTGAGCAGACCATCCAGGTAGCGATCCACGTTTTCAGCATCCGCTCATTAAAGCTTCTTCCGTTGTTTCGTTGCCATGCCGATTATTTATTATTACTACTACTACTACTACTACTACTACTACTACCTATTATTATTATTATTACTTATTTACTACTCCAACTTACCCAACTACTATTATTAGTAGTAACAAGTATCCCAAAAATACAATATTTTGAAATATCTACTATAATTTTTATTATTAAATTGCTTTTATCTCTAGAAACCTTAATCTTGTATAGAAGATATCAAAGTGTTGGAAAAGTCAAAAAGTTTTAAACAAAAGTTATGTAAAATTTGTAAAATAAAAAAAACGACTTTGCGAAGCAAGATGAAAGATATTTAAATAAACAATATTTCCTTTTATTGTATTAAAGTACAAAATAAAAATCATTATATTTAAAAATATATATAACCTATAAGTAATAAAAAGGAAAAGGGTTCATTTTTGAAGACTAATTTGAATGAGTTCATGTTGTTTATCCCATAAGTCTTTTTTCTAAGAAAGAAACTTATAATTTTTTCTTGACCAACTAAACTAAGCAACTTTGAACTCAACTTCATACTTCACTCTGGTGGATTTTTGTTCCTGAAAAACTGAGAAAAAGTTTTAATTAGTAAAAATAAGAATTATAAAAGTCTTACTTTCTCTTAAAAACTTAAAACTAATTAAGTCGGAGTCTTCTGGAAGAGTTTTTCTGAGTTAATAAAACTTTCAGCAAAGAAGTGGATAAAAATAAATTTTTGGAATTCATCAAAGATGTTGTATTTGCTTATTGTTAAGAATGCACAACATTTTTTTGTGTTGTTATAAGGCTTATAACAACACAGAACATGTTTACAATAGAGGGTATTTCAATCCATCACAATAAAACAGTAATTGTTGAGACATCCGTTTGGTTCGTCAACATACATCAGATCACTTGTTGATTACATAAGGTGTAATAACTATAACAATTATAATTTTATACCAAGTGCATTTTATGTATTCTACAAGTGACGTACTACTTGTGTTATTGTGATGAAATGCAATAAACTTTTTTTGGTGTTTTATTTTACAATAACCAATACAACATCTCTGAATAGTTCGGAATATTTATGTTATAGCCATAGGTACCACTTCTCTGCTGAAATAAATATTAAGATGACTTCCGATCTTGCTGTGAGTTTTTAAGAGAAAGAAGGACGTTCAAAACTCCTATTTTTACTTATTATTGTTCTTATTTTCAGGGAAAAAATCCACAGGGGTAGGTTAAAGGTTTTTAAAGATATAAAACGCAGCTAAATTATTAACCTTATATTTACTTTTGGGATACATGAACAGTGTTTTTATGTCAGTGAAATGTTCTTTTTACGGCAATATTAAATCATATTACAACTTGAAAACCAGTAAAGAAAAGCACAAAAAAATGTTAACAATAACACAAAATTCTCTGCAAAATAAATATAACCTTATTAATTCTACATTTGTAGCCAAATATGTCTTACTTTTTAGATGTAATATTGTCGTATAAAGCTTTATCAACACTGAAATGAGTGTTTTCTGTACTTATATGTGCACTGCATAAATTTGTCCATCGTCTCTATCGATTTGGTTTATATAACTTTTACTTATTCTCTGAAATATAAACCGAGTGCGAAAATTTATCAAAACATCCTGGATTTTGATAAAATTTCAAGAGTTCTGGCTCAAATTGCACAGTGCTTTTTATTACTACATACTTCTCTGTCTATGATTATTATACTATTATCAATTTGGTGCCTTATAATAGACGTTGTTCAAAGCTTTTCCAAACTATTAGTTAAATGGACCATTAATTATTTCGTAATGTAGTTTATAATTAATAAAAGCTGAGCTTACAAAACAGTACCGAAACATTAAATATAAATTCGCTAATAGAATAACAAACTAATCGGCTTGACAAAAACATCGCTAACATTATTTAATCAAAATCACAGAATTCAATTTGAAAGGATAACTATAGTTATCCCTCCATGTGGTGGCAAACAAATTCGCAATGGTAAGACCCTTTAGCCTCCTGACTACAGGTAGGAAGCTAATACCAACCTAAAGAACTTGAACACTCCATTACAGTTTAAGGAAACATTCTACTATCAACCATAAAAACATGAAATGTTATTTTTCAATTTTTATGTTTAACAGTAGCATGTTTTCTGAACCTTTACTCGTAACAGCTAAAAAATCATAAAAGCCATTATAGACTCCCCCGCATATTGTTTCAGTGGCTTACGACAAGTTAAGTTGTTGAAGTACGCCACTGGTATAAATTCGTAGTATAATAGTCTCAGACGAATACCCCCCTCCACCGTATTTTTTTGGTTTTTCTTTTATATGGAACGCTGCGGTAAACTTTTTTCTTCTAAATCTGTCCAGCATGACTTCGCATGGAGACCTTCCAAATTTTTGGCTTTGCATGATAGAGAAAAATATCGTTTTCGAATAATTTATTGCCACGAAGAAACATTTGTTTTGATTAATGGTGAAATGATATTTTTCTTGTTCGCATTTTGTATATCTGCTTCACGCTGTATGAACAACGTTTTGAATGTTTGAATGAATGTAAGTGACCTGATCCATTTCCACTATGCTAAGTAATGTATTCAACAAAATTTTAAGATTCTTATGTTTATTTTAAAGAAATCTAATAAGAAAGTACATCAACTTTAAGCTAACATGGTTTCTTTTAAATATTAATTCAAACGAATCTGCAAACTTTGTTAGGCCCAAGGTATAATTATTTGTACTAATACCGATTTGTGGACACTTTCTGTTTTTGATAGGCATGATTTTGTTTTGGATCCGTATTTTAAACTGTATATATTTATATTAAATATATACAAAACCACGCTGTATAACTGTGCCAACAAACAAAAACATCAAAGGACTCTGACTTGAGTAATAATAAAATTATTAATTTTAATATCCATTATTCAAATCAGAATAAATGGTGTCCAGACACACTTTAAACAAATATTTCATCTAAGAACCAAACTTAAATGGAAAGCTAAAAAAACAAATACTAACAAGCTAAAATGAGGACAAGCTTTAATAAAGACAAGCTTAAATAAGAAGCTAAAATGATGACAATCTTAAAGAATACCAAGTTTTAATAGGTACAAGCTAAAATGACGACAAGCTTAAATAAGGACCAGCTTAAATGACAAGCCAAAATAACTATAAACCTAAATCACGACAAACTAAAATAATGTCATGTTTAAATATGGACGAGCTAAACAATTCACAAGCTAAAAATGGCTAAACAAGGGTTTAATTATATTAAGCTAAAATAATGACTATCTTAAATAATAAGAAGCTAAAATGAGAACAAGCTAGAATGACGACAAGCTAAAATGGGGACCAGGTTAAATGACAAGCTTAAATCACGACAAACTAAAATAATGACAAGTTTAAATATTGACTAGCTAAAATATTAAATATTGATTAAAGTTAAAAAGGCCACAAGCAATACTTACATCAACTAAAATAAGCTAAAATGATGACGAGCCAAAATGATATTAAAAACTAAATCTTATCAGTAGTATGAGTAGCTTAAATAAGAAGCTAAAATGATATCAAAATAAAAATAACTTAAAGCTTAAATAGAAACAAGTTAAAATGATAATAAACTTAAATAATAACAAGCTTATATAAGAACAAGCTAAAATGATGACAAGCCAAAATAACTACAAACTTAAATCACGACAAGCTTACATAATGACAAGTTTAAATATGGACGAGCCAAAATAATCACAAGCTAAAAAACAGTTTAATTAAGGCAAGCCTAAAGATAATAAGCTAAAATAAGGACAACTTTAAATAACGTTAAGCTCAAATATTAAATATTGAATAAATGATAACAAGTTAAAAAGGCAACAGGCAATACTTACAATAAGCTAAAATGATGACGAGCCAAAATGACATTAAGCGTTAATAATTAATATTTAAAAAAATATTTTTTTAAATATTGCTAAATGAGGATAAGCTAAAGTAACAACAAACTTAAATAATGACGAGCTTAAATGATAATAATGATAAAAATATAAAATGAAAACAAGCTTAAATAATGATAAGCTAAAATGTAAACAATCTTAAATAATAACAAGCTAAAATAATGACAATCTAGAATGGTGACAAGATTAAATGACAAGCTTAAATCACAACAAGCTAAAATAATGACAAGTTTAATTTTTGACGAGCTAAAATAATCACAGGCTAAAAAAGAATTTAATTATGGCAGTGATGACAATCTTAAAGATAATAAGCTAACATAAAGAAAACTTGAATGACGACAAGCTAAAATATTAAATATTGATTAAAGTTAAAAAGGTCACAAGCAATACTTAAATCAACTAAAATAAGCTAAAATGATGACGAGCCAAAATAACATTAAGCGTTATTAATAAAGCTAAATTTTACAAATTTAAAATATTGCCATGAGACAAAGCTTAAATAATAAATAAATGAATAAATAAATGATAATAATGGTAATAATGATAACCATTTAAATAGAAAACAAGCTTAAAACAAGTTTAAATGATGACAAAGTAAAATGTACAAGCAACAAAATAATGACAAACTAAAATATAAGCAAGCTTTATAGAGACAAACTAGAATGAAGACAAACAAAAATATCGGCATGCAAAATTAGAACTAAAAATATGAACAGCTTAAATAAAATGCTAAAATAATAACGACTTAAAAAAATGACAAGCTAAAATGAGAACAAGCTGTAACAAGGACCAGCTAAAATAAAGATAAGCTTAAATAATAACTAGCTAAATTGAGAACAAGCATTAATAAGGACAAGCTAAAATAATGACAAGTTTAAATATAGACAAGCTAAAAAGGACTAAAATAGGTTCGATAATAGCAAGCTTAAAGATAATAAGCTGAACTGAGGAAAAGTTTGAATGACGACAAGCTTAAATATCTAATATGGATAGAATGATAACAAATTAAAAAAGGAAAGCAATAAAAATTAAATATATTTTTTTTAATCCAATAAATAAATTAATTAATTATTAAAAATATAAAATACAATAAATACAAATTTTCTTCTTAGAATAAGATTATATTTGATAAGTATTTCTGGATACCTTCATATTGTGACTAAAAAAATTGTTTCTAAAACTGTTTACTCAAATCATGTGTACCTAACTAGTGTAAGCAAAATTTGGATTCGACATCAATATTAATGCCGGTTTTCTGTTTTCCTTTCCTCTCTCAATTATCGATAAATAAAAATGTTGTAACTTGGAAGGAAGACGAACTTGCGTAAATACGAAAGAGATTGCAATAAACCGATATCGAAAATGTACCCGGCCGCTGGCAACCATTCATCGCAAGAGGACTATTTGCACGAAACGGCCACTATACAGGAATTTAGGTAAGTGCGAGAAAAATTGGGAGTAAAATATTGAACATTGCCCTTGTCGGTGTCGTGTTTCGATGTACATAAGCCCCGCGTATTGCTGAACGATTTGTGCTAAGTGTTTTTTGCCAGATTCTTTTTTACTGTTATTCGTTTCATAAGTGTTCTTTCGGACATCGTTACAAGCAGAAAAGGTATCAAAATTGCTTATAATACCAGCTTATCAAAGTTTCATCCTATAAATTTGACCCTAATGAATCTCTTTGTTTCATTGTCTAAAAAGGACGAATTTAATTAATTTTTAGGGTGCCTGATTAGGGATCGGATTTTTGGGTTAAATTGGCTCGTTAGAAGGCAGCAATAATAAAAAAATGCTTTTAAAAATAACAAAAGGAAATTTAACATTTACAAGGTGTCCAGAAAGGGTAGGGGGTATTTGTAAATTCAGAAACAATTTTTTTTTTGTAATATTTAGACAAAGTTTTGGAAAATTGAGGCAACATAACTGGCCTCCGAGAAGCCCCGATCTTACACCACTTCATTATTTTTAAAAAAATCCGCACTTAATTTTCCAAAACTCTGTCTAAAAATTACAATTTTTTTTTGACGACTTTTTGGTTTTATTTTTATTGAATTTACAAATACCCCCTACCCTTTCTGAACACATTGTAGTATGCTTAAAATAGTATTTTATGTATCAAGTTTTATAAACGCCAATTTAGTTGCGAGTTTAATTAGGCACGAGCGAAGCTTGTTTAATAAAAAAGAGTGTCTAGAGATAAACGAGTTTATTACTATACTTTATCTACGACAAACACAAACAGAATTTAAAGCCAATTTGACATCTGTAAACTGTCTTCCGAATTTAACCTCACTTTTTCCAATTTATAATATAGCCAACTTCAGTCCGCGACTAAAAAGCTTGAAAGCCGCTGTTTCTAACTTTAGCCAGTGACTAACACGCCATAAACTGTCAACTCGTCAATGTAGGAGTAGATAAAATAACTAATACAATAACAGGGCATGTATTAAGTTATTTAATTCACAAAAAAGTGAGGTTAACTCCGTTCGACATATCAGATTGGGAGAGAGTGAGGTTAAAACAGCTTCTCAGATGTCACATGTCAGATAAACTGTCAAATACATTTGTAGGTTTATTTACCATTAAAGTATAATATAGCAAACAATAATTTTTGTTATGTCGTTTATTCGATAAAATATTTTTGTGAAAGAAATAAAAACTTTCTAATTAGAGTATCGCGCATGAATAAATAAATAATAATAAGCATTTTAGGCAAACAAATCAAATAAATTGTACTGAAAATATCTAAAACATATTTTGCACTAACAAATTTTAACAGCCTATCGAATTTTGACTAGAATTCGGTCTGGTATGCAATATTTGAAAAAAAAGATTTAAGATGTATTGGGATTTGGGAAACCGTAAATAAATTTTGGAGAATACTTTTATACGGTGTACGTAAATATTTTTAAGTAAAATATTTTTTTTTTAATTTTGGTATTTAATTGCAATTTCATATTAATTTCTATAAAGTTCATGCCAATACCCAAACGAAATGAAAAATAGTATATTGGACAACTAGTGAAAGAAAGAGGAGATTCCTCAAGCCAATTTTATCTTATATTTTAGCTGGCATCTGTTAAGCAACTTTAACCTCACTTTATTCCAATTTTAACTTAAAGCTATCTTTAGCCCGATGGCGAAATTTTACTTCGCCCACCGGTTAAGAAATGAAGTGGTTGTTGAATAAAATAATATTGTTTAAAAAGTCTACAGAATTGTGCCATAATAAACTTTAAGAAATAAAGAAAGCCTTTAAAATGTAGCACAGCATGTAGCATAATATGTTATCAAACTAAACAATAACTAGAATATGTACAACATGTTTATGTTTAACCAATTATTCAGGCTAACTGCAGTATCAAAACTATACTCGATCAATATTACATTAAATAATTACGAACACAATGAACGCAATGTTTTATGTCTTATTATTTGCATGAATGCTTACAACAATAATAAATTAATTAACAAAAAATATTAACTCCTAATTTTTCAATAAAAAAATCTTTCATTTCAAAAACACCCTGTATGTAAGAAGCGTGTTGTTGCTGCTCTTAACTGCATTTTTAAATGTTTTATTTTGATTGATTGATTCATTAGATGCAACAAAAAGTTTGTTCGTAATTTCGAATCGAGCCAACAAACTTTTTTAATCATTCGAATGTTGAGGCTGTTTCATCGCAATAGATCGCATTTGTGTGGTTCGTTACTAAAATAATTGTTTGGAAAATGTCTTTCGCGCATTTAAAACAATTATTTTGAGTTTGGCTTGTGCGTATCATGCTTTCGACAAGTTTAAGAGAGAAAGTTTTTGAATTTGTCATTGAAACCTTAAACTTGGACCTTTGAGTTGTTAGACCGATAAGAAGAAATTATTAAACCTGTATTTTTTGCTAGCCGCGCCGATTCGCAAAGAGTCTTGTTCCGACCATCGAACCATATGGGATCCGGAGGACCATCGCATTACCAGTTAGTGAATAATTGATGTGTCTATTTTGCACTCAATGTTTGTCCCAAAGTGTCTCTAAATGTTCAAATTATACTTCTTAACTACTTACTTGTTATACAGCACCTGAACTTTGCTGAAATATGTCCCTTTACTATTATAATGTTTGTTGTTCATTTTTTATTGGTAATAGCAGAATAATCCTAGACGATAGGTAAGTTTTTGTTGTTAATATGTCAAGAAACTTCCTAACATATTAATAAAAAAACTAGAACCAAGAAATAATGTAATCATATTTAATTTTTGGCTTTGTCCCAGGCCCACAATACAAATAATACTGACAATAAGATAGTTTTGGATCAAGGGGTGTTACTTGAAATATGTGACTTTAATTTCTTTAAAAGTGGTCTTTATAGACAGCAATAAACCAATCAGAGACGGCACACAGAAAGAAAAGTCGCAAATATCAAGAAACACAGCCTTGTCCTACTAACAAAGCTACATTGCTTTACGTCTTTCTATACTAAATGTAAAACATTATTTTAATTATCACAGTGAATAGGGTTTTTTGCGTTGGGGCGGGTAGTTAAAGAACTGGAGCCCCATTACAACTTTTAACTTGTGAAAGCATTAGGTGAAACGTGAAAATAAATCCCAATTTCGCAAAACTTTAACATTGTTAATTTTATGAAATACAAGAAAATTTGCATAAAATTTTAACGGGCATTCGCAAGATATAATAAAAGATAAAGCCCAAATGCAAATCAGGCTCAGTTTATATTTGTTCAATTGTTATTTCGTGGGGGGTTATAACGTTGATTAACATTCCCGATGGAAATTCGAAACAAAGCCGAAATTTGCGTATTAACGCGACCCATCCTTAGATAACAATACCTTCAAGCATTTTATTATATCTATGCTGGAATATTAAAAACCAAACATATCTACGAACATGTATACTGAAATGTCCAGAAACTCTCATGCCATACAAAAACCTCAATTTATAAGAACGATGGAAATTGCTTTCATTTTTAATGACCAAACTGATAAAGTTTATCATTAAACTTACAACAATACAGCGTTTAATATTAACTTAAAATGGATAGGGCTGCTGCAATAAAAGGTAAATGAATAGCTTTTCTTTAAAACTAAAAGTATTGCGAGATGTTTTAAAAATATTCCTTTCTATATCGATCATAAATGAAACGCATTGCGGCTGTACAAATCCATTTTGTATATTATACATAAAAAGCAGAATAAGTGTCCCATGTTTCATCATTAAAAAAGGCTTAAAATGGTGCTTTAAAAAGCTATTTCGCATAGGTGTATTTATAACGAAAAACCATAAAATCTTTCTAGACATAAGAGTTTTTGGAACTTATATTGTAATTTTATTATTTTGCAGCCATTAATATTTATAGCTGATAAAACAAAATCGTTTAATGTATTTATTAAAGTTTGTTATCACAGTGATGATTATTCTGCTGTTACCAAAACAATAACTTATATATTTTATAATACAATTCAAATTCTAGATAGAATGTTGACTTTATTATTTCGAACTTTACTGTGTTATGCCTCTTTTTGATATTTTAAGCAGCATGTAGATTGTCTTGTGGTCATTGTAGAACGCTTAAAACCGAAAAAAATGAATTTGATACTTAACGTTTCTAGGGAACAATTACAAAGAAGAGGCGTCGGATCATCAAATGAAGAAGAGATTCATTCCGGTAAGACCCTTTGATTTAATTTCGACAACATTACTACCTTCAGCATTTCAGTAGAAGATGATACAGTATCTTTCATAGACCTGAAGCACAACAACCTCAAGATACCGGAGAAGAAGGGGATCTTGAAGAAGCCCGACTATGGAATGATGATGACTGGCGATGGCAAAAACAGCTGGGGAGATGGCGCGCAATCGGACGAGCTGATGACGCAGGCGGAGCTAAACATGAGCCAGATCATCAGTGGAGGTCCATCGGATGTCGAGAGAACCCTCAAGACCCTCAATGGGTGAGACACTACTTAATAATTAAGGATATTTTGTTTACATCCATCTTTTTGAAGGTATCATGAAGATATAATCAAAGCTTTAAGAAATGCGGCTAGTAGAAAGGATACTACTACGCCGTCAGGCAGTACATGCACTCTAAGTGATGAGTTACTGAGGAGGAGCCTCCAACAATGTGCTGAGAGTTACTCCAAGTATGAAAGGAGTGGAAGTCAGGAAAAGGTATGGATAATATTAAGTCCAGCAACAAAGTTCATCTTAACCTTTTCAATCTTATTTTCCATCACAATAGGTGGTCATAGAGCACGAGGATGAAGATGAAGACGAAGTTCCTCCATGCGGTCCCCTACGAATCCGCAACCTGGAGGACTTGATTCGTCAACTCGAACATCATTCCCGACACATGAGCCCGAGCGGTTCCGAGGACATACGAATGTCGGAGACTGAAGCTGATCGACACTATCGACAAGTAAGTATACGATGTTTTTCGACAAAATCGTAACTATGATAATTTTACAAACTTATGTCCTAACATTAAGTACTCCAGCTTAGTTTAACTAATTTTGGGCCGCTGATTTCAAAAATGTCATTAGTTTTTCTCTAGGACGTCTAGGATTTAAAATAATTTCGTAATAAAATGCTCTGCTCAATCACCTCAAAATGTAAGTTTTTTGTTGGTATTTTAGTTATTTATTAAATTATTTTGGCTTAAATTTATCTTGAATGTACTAAAGTAATTGGTATACGGCAAATAGATCATATTTATCTTAACAATATGACATTTTAAATACTAAAACTAAAATTTTAATGTATTTTATGTAAAAAACAACTATTATTTAATATTTTTTGTCGTTTATTTTAATTATTAAATTAAAAGGGCAACAAAGTAAACAAGTTTCAGTATTTTTTATCCAAATTAAGCCCTCAAAATTTAATGCAGCATAATTTTGCTTTTTTCTACCTTAAATTTATTGAATCGTATCAGATATCAAATTGGATTATAGTATTATTGTGCTTAATCCTCATCATCGTCGTACATCTTTTGCTGCAAATTCCAGCAAATGTCTCCTAGCAATGAATCCAACTTCTATACCCATATATATCTACCAACGCTCTAGATTTGCAATTACTTGGTGAAATCGTTCTCCATGTTCATCAGTTCGGCAAATTTATCAGGATGAAAAAAAAAGAAAATGTATTTTAAATGACATATTAACGCTAATTCATTGCAAAACGAAAAGCATTTTTTCAATGAATTGGCGCCAATTTTAGGCCCGATATGAACCAAGAACATTTTCAATGACAGCTTTAACACCGCCATAATATGCGACAAGCTCGTCTTTAAGAGCTTTGAATGCTTGATCTTTCATTAAACGTCGTATATCAGGTCCATTTAATATTCCTGCAAAATAAAAGTAGTAGGTATATCTTATAAAATTTTTTAATGAAATATTGCGTTGGTTTTTCTTGGGCGTAAAGGTACCGTAACAAAACAAAACAAATTTACAACAATGACATAAATGTTCGTCTCCTTTCTCTTTTTCTGCCACTTCCATTACCACTTCCATTTCCTGCTCTTTTTTCATTTTTGGTTCTTAAAATCGCTTTCAAGTAAAAATACAATTTAAAGTTTAAATTTTAAATGTCAATAATTAATAGATGCAGTTTAGTGTGCTTGAACCACAGATTATACAACTTAAAAAAGTAGATAAAGGCTCCTTTATACTTCAATTTGATATTTAATTTTGATAAGACTTAATAAATAAGATTCGAGATTTAAATTTTTGGGTACTTTAGGCATGATGTGAATAAAGACATATCAAATAATAGTCGAAGAGGGATGCTTATACCGAAACCCTTTTACTTTGTTGCCTTTTCAATTTAGTAATTAAAAAACGACACAAAAATTTCAAGAAATGATACTTTTTACCAAAAAACATTATAATTTTAGTTTTGGTATTTAATAAAGCACTCTGCAGAAAAGTGCTTTATTAAATATTCCTTATAAAATACTACTATAGTATAAGGCTACAATGGAACAAACAAAATTTCTATTTAACATTTATTTACCGATGACTTTGTATGGAGTCCGTGTATATTTTTTACATAAAACGTCAAAAATATACTGAACATCCAAAATAGATTTGAGGCAAAATAATTTAATAAATAATCAAAATATTAACAAAAAACTTACATTTTGAGATAATTGGGCAGAGCATTTTATTACGCAATTATTTCGAATCCTAGACGTCCTGGAGCAAAACGAGTGGCATTTTTGAAATCAGCAGCCCAAAATTAGGTAATATAGGTGGGCGTACTCAATGTTAGTAAATCGAACTATCATCCCAGATAGCACAGAGATATCTTAAAGATATCTTAAAGATGTCGGACTCGGACGTTTATGACATCCCTAAGACGTCCAGTTTACGACGTAAGTCATCTTTAAGATATCTAATGTTACAAAACACACCGTCTTTAAGATGTCCTTTTAACGGCATTATTAAGTCGTTGCTAAACGTTGTTAAGACGTATTTAAGATGTTAAAGACTACCTATTGAAAAAGTCTTGGTTATGCATTGCTACATCGCCAAAACGTTTTTAAGGTATTAAGTAATTAAAATGTAGCTAACACAGAGTAGAACACGGAGTACTTTGTGGTAGCTAATAATGTTTTTATTACAAATGGATATTATTAATTGCAGAAAAAATAACCAATCTACAAGAATGTCAGATATATATTTATTCAGTTACCCTAAACATCATCGTTGTCAAAACTTAAAATCCTACATTAATGTTGTTTCTATTACCTATAGGTACCATCTTATTTTGTTAATTTTGGTAATTATAATTATATCTTACTTGTCAAAATTCACTATTTTTTCAAAAAAAAAAAATAAACGGCGGTATAAGGCATTTATAAGATGTCTATAGAACATTAAATGAAGATATCTTTAAGACGTCTTTCAAACGTCTTTTTTAGATCTTCAGACGTTCAGTCATAATACAGACATACAATAGACATCTTTAAGACTTTGTGTGCTATCTGGGATAGTGTTATAATCATGTACCTACTAACTTTTTTCTGTAGGAGTCCTCTTCGGCCTGTAGCGAAAGTTCGCACCAGTCTCACGGCGGCAGAGACCAGCGGTTCGTGTACGGCAGGTACCGACAGCCGTCGGGGCGGATGCCGTATCCCCATCCCCACCAGCACCCGCACTCCCTGCATCAGGCCGAGGAGGATAGCATATACGAAAGCGCCGACCACGAGAGAGGCATGCCTTGCGGGGACACGCCCGACAGCGAAAGGTAAACGTCGAGATGAAATATATATGATTTTAATGCGAGGGGATGTCAATAAGTCATCATAAAATCAAAGAGATCATGTTGGTAGTACCAACCACTATCCACACAACAAGGTCTGTTCTATCTCGTACTAAAAATACAAAAAATCACTGCAACACTGCACAGTTTAACGGCGGCCATTTTTGTTGTTTACAATTTTTGTGCTTTGGGTTTGTGCTCTGTTTATACAGATTAATAATCGTTTTAAACGTTCTGTTTCTCATAGTAAGCCTTAAAAGAGGCCTTAAAGTGCTAAGAACAACCATTTTACTCCTCTATTGTAAAAAATAAACTTTATTCTATCAGGGCTGTCATAAAATTGTCAAATGTCAATTTTAAGGTTAAATTATAACCCACAAATTTACCTTCAAATTGTCATTTGACAGCCCTGATAAAATAAGGTATATATATTTATTATAAAAGAGGAGTAAAATGGTTGTCCTTAGCACTTAACGGCCTTATTTGAGGCTTACAAGTGCCTCTGTAAGAAACCCAACGTTTAAAACAATTATTAAACAGCACAAACTCAAAGCACAAGAAATTGTAAACAACAAAAACGGCCGCCGTTAAACTCTGTGCAGTGTTGCAATGATTTTTAGTATTTTTAGCAGGAGATAGAACAGACCTTGTGTGTGGATTGTGGTACCCACAAGTTTATTTTTAATTAGTGACTTATTTACTTACCCTCCTGTGTTTATTTGATTTTGTATGAAATATTTTTTGAAATTATTTTATATATTGTTCTAAACTTATGGTATTATTTATAAATAATTATAATTCAAATCATTTAAGCCAAAATTTTGTGATAATAACGAAAGCAAAGGTCTTGCAAAAGATTCTTCAATAAACATTTTAAGTGCTTTAAGGTTGTATAACTTTGATTATAAGATTACTCAATAAACAATATTATTTTTAAGTTAATGTTAAGTTATGTCCAAAAGAGTATTTGAAAATAGTGACAATTATTTTCGATGTTATGATACATTTGATTTAACTACATATATAGGTACTCTTAATTTAATTAAAGTTTAGAATACATTTTTATGATCTCTTAATGCATAATAATAATTTTCATTTTCCAAGTTAAAAAGTAGTTCAATTTATCGGGTTTAGGCAGTTACAGCTTGTAAAATCTAGCTAGAGACGTACGAATGTACACGCCCATCAATGCTCTTAAAATCGTCATTTACATTGAGTTTGTCTTAGGATAAAAAACGTGCTGACATCGCTTCTGCCATTCTTCCTGAGAAAATGTGGAAAAAAGAAAAGGAAAGAAAATCCTCACACAATTCATCTACTTGTGTAAAGTTAAAGTTTACATTTCTCTCAGCAACATATTTTTTTAAGGCTGTTCAAAATAACTCGATAGGATTTAAATATGGGCGATATGAAGGAAACCTCAAAACGGTGTATCCTGCATTTCTCATAATAGTATCGATTTCGTATAATTTTCAAAAGGATTATAACCACAGACCTACAAACAAAATGGACTGGCCTTTCCCATTCAAAATACACAATGTTTTGTTGCCAAGAACGATTTAGATTAGGGGTAAAGGAGTAAGGGAAGGGGTGTTTATAAACAAGTTTCCACACCAGTGGCGTTCTGTTTTTGGGATCATAATTTAAATAAAAATATTAAAAATAAATAAAAACATTAAATTGTACATTTTTTTTGTGTTTTTCAATCCTATGTAAAAATTATATTTAATATATATAAATATATAGGTATAACAAAATACTAACCTTGTCCAGATGATAGAATCTGGCTCTTTAAATCTAAAATTTAAGTGAATTCATTTATTTATTTATTCAGTTTCTACGCCCCTGGCAGGGTTTGTTTTGTAAATAAACTAACCTATGAAAAGAAAGTTTTAAATTCTTGGATCCAAGTCTTTTACAAACGTAGCACTGCTTCACCATTTTTATATCACTCACCATTGGTATTTTTCACTATAAAATCAAATAAAAAATATTAAATAAGTTGTGGATTCCAAGTATCTTTTACGTAAAATATAGATACTTCAAAGCAAATAAAGTCAGATGTGACAACTGAGGGAAAATATTTATTTTTGTTCCTTTCCACTCTTTTCAATGTAAATAAACCGGTCCATTTGTTTGTTGGTCGGTGATTATAACCTATTTTTATTTGCATTAATGTTACCTCTTTTAAACATACCTTAACTTTATAAGAAATTCTTGTTTAATAATTATATTCTAATTGTATAAATAAATCGAAAATGTACTATTTTTTACTATTAAATAACTTTAATAATGTTGATATTTAAACCTTTATTAGTACTCGGTGCAGCCGGGATCGGCCGTATCATGCATCTCTTTTCTTCCGAATGCGTTCTCTCTTTAAAATTTTGCGCACACTGCAAGTTTTTAAAGTCTCTAGCTAGATTTGTCGAGTGTTATTTAATTAACAAGGCATTCTTGACCTTGTCTGTTGTGTATAAACCCGCCAAAATGAATGAATGTAATTTAAGATGTGTACTAATTGTTAGTAGCTAACTACCAATTAGCTGGTAGTCATGTTATACTGTACCTCGTTTTCTAGTGATGAATTTATTCAAGCTCAGCAACAGCTAGCCCGGTGGGCCAGTGAGGACGCAGTAGGGCCGGGGGCCAGCACGAGTCAGGGGGCGGCTCTGGCAGGCGTTGCCGGAGTCAGCGTAGGCGGCAGCGTCAGCGCCGTCCCCAGAGAGTACTACCCGTCGCCGAGCAGCTCGACGAGCGAGGAACCGCCGAGCATCGCGCGCGCGCCCCTGCCCAACCTGCTGCCGCCGCAAGGGCCGCCCCCGCATCCCGACCACGCCACCATCCACCGGCCCAAACGTTACCCCGAATACAAACACTGATAGTGACTCGCCGGGCTTGCGCGGAATCGACGTAGGCCCACGCCGCCGATGGGCCTCCCCGCCGCCGCTACCGCCCTCTACGCGACACAGATGTACTAATAACTAGTTAAAGTCACAACGTGTCACATCATTTATTGCAATTTTTCAGACTGTTTCATTAAATATTAAAGTTAATTAACTTTTAATTACTATATCAGCATTACTTGAGACATAATGTATTACAAGGGCAATAGTTTCAAACGTTTAAACCTGAAACCAAATAAAATAAATGAACCCAGTATAACGTTTTGTAAGACACTTTAAAACTGCAATTGGTTATATGACATGATGTGTCCCTTGTAGAAATTTTTCTCTGAAAAAGTTTTAATAAGTAAAAATAAGAGTTTTGAAAGTCTGAATAAGATTTATTAAGTCGGAAAAAGTCAGAATAAGACTTAGTAAGTCAGACTAATAGCAATATTTGGGAGTCTTCTGGAAGAGTTAATGTAAGACTTTTAGTAGAGAAATGGTAGGTACCTTGGTATAGCTATAGCAATAAAAATAAATACCTGGAATTACTCAGAGAGGTTGTATTTGGTTATTGTAAATTAAACCACAAAGAAAAGTATACATTTTTGCTGTTTTGTTATAAGCCAAGTTTATTGCATAATTACCTACTCTCTTAAAATGAGTTAGTCAAAAATAACTAATTATAAGTCATATTTGACTAATTGTCATAGCGAAAAAGCAGTCTTTAATAATTAGCCAAATTCTACTGAATGAAATAGTCAAATTAGTAGATTTAAATTTAAAAAAGTTTTGACCTAGCCGGGGATTGAACTCAGGTCTGTCACTTGTCAAGCTTGTCAAGATGTTGTCACAACCCATTCGGCTATCAGCCGCTCTTATAAAAATCAATTTTATTTGTCAATAAATATTGTTCATAATATTTGTGTTGCTGTTTTGAGCTAATCTTTTTGCATCTTTATTTGTTTTTTTGGGTCATTTAAACATGGAGCTTAGGTATATGCATTAAATTCAAATAATACTTTGTTGTTGGACGCAAACGATTAAAGAAATTAGTTACTTTTAACTAGTCAAAGATGGTGACTAATCTTAAATTAGTCAAACTTTAACTATTTACGTAGTAAAAAATACCTATTTAAAAGTGAAAACGACTATTTTATTAGTAAAAAATGCTGTTACTTATTCAAATAGTAGAATTTTGACTATTTCATTTTAAAGGTTAATAATTATAATTTTTTACATACGATGCGTTTGACTAGCTTTCATTGTTGCCACTGTACGTTTTATTTTATTAGTTTCTTTTTATATACCTACGCATATATTCATCTAACCATTGTTCCAAACAATTGTTCTAAAAACAACAATACATGTGTTCTAGACGAAATATCGATTTTCTCAGCTGACCGTCATATGATTGCATCTTCTGTCAGTCCGACACAGTGTTGCCGTTTGCAAGTATTTTACTCGAAAATCGGCTATTTTTGTCATGTTTGCGGGTAGAATTTTGAAGCGGGTAAAATCGGGTTAAAATAATAACTAAACAAATGTTCAGTAAATAATATTGTATATTTACTAAGTATGCACAATTATTTTATTCTATCATGTTACTAAAACTAGCTTTTTTAGTATTTTGTAATTTTTGGTCAGAAACTTTTATGACATTCATCCGGCAATCAAACACACAAGCAATGAAAGCAGCTCGAAGATCAACTGTCAAACACATCAATCATACCTATGCATTTGAAGAATTCTTATAGTTATTATACCTTAAGTAACCAACAAGGGATCTGTTTTTACACAAACCAAACGTATGTCTCAACTTTTTTATTGTAATAAATTGAAGCTTTTGTATTTTTAAAAGCAACAACCCAAAAACAGTGTTTACAAATACTTTTCGTTGTGTTTTCTTTTGCAATAACCAAATATCACACCTCTGAATAATTCCGGATATTTAATTTAATCGCTATATGTATATCTACATAGGTACCATATCTCTGCAAAAGTCTTGCTATTAGACTTTTTCCTACTTAATAAGTCTTATTCAGAGTTTTTAAGAGAACGTAAGACTTTAAAAACTCTTACTTAAACTTATGAGAACTTAAAAAAAAAAAAATTCCAAGGGGTGACTTACCTCGAGTACGTCTGCGTAAATTTTGTGTTAATTCGGACGCGTAATTTTTCCGTTAACGTTATCGTCGTCGTCGTAATGCGTATCCAGTATTTGGTCTGGACGTCTGTGGGTTTTGGCCATTTAAATATTTTGTATATAGGTAGCTGACGCGTGGCTAAGTCGACCCAAATGTATGTAGTATTATATTCTAAAGTGTTTATATAAGTTTACGTCGGATTTGAGTTTTGCGCTGCATCAATAAAACAACCTGGGTTCTTCAGGTTTTATTTGCCGAAAAGTGTGCATCTGAATTTTTGATGGATAAAAATGGAAGGGTCTGGGATATTAGTTGTTTACCCCTTTGAATTCTAAAATAGATTAAGACTACAAAATATATAACGAGTGTTAATCAAAAAACTACTTATTATTAGTTATACTGTCAAACTCAATAGACTCATATAGAAGAACATCTTAGTTGCGTGCGCAAAACTCTGGTCCGACTACGTCGAAAAGCCGCGTAATTTTTGTAAATGATTAACGATACAAGTCCAAATCTCGACGTCTCTAGACCTAAAACAAAAATAAAGACTGAAGTCATAAATAAATGTCCTGACAGCCTCGCCACCTTGAAAACCTGGCCAGGTTCCTGGACCCACTATTAACCTCCCGTGTTAAGTGTTGTGCGGCTCGCTTAAGGGTCGACTTTTATAGTTGTTGACTTATCGAAGCACCTCGTACCTCGGAGCGGCCGATCTACGAATTTAAATTTAGCCGTTTTGTATTTTGTTAGTAGACATAACCTACAAGCGACTGCCAAGTCATTAAAAGACGGCCGCGCGACGCGAGGCGCGAGGTCTTTCGCGAAAACGTGCGAAATGGCATGCATAATTCTAAATTTGTGGTGTGTGAAGAGGATCCGTTTATGCCTTATTTGATGGCGTTACTTGTTTTTCGGGCCATCGTCAACAGTGACCGGAGAAACGACGCACGTCCGCCACATTATTTAATCACGAAATCCTTCGGTAACGAACGGTTTTTTATTGTAGGTTGTAAGTTAGTCACAGGTTCTATTTAGTGATATTTCACCGGGGCCCACGGCCTAATCATCAACATTGGTTTCGTTTTGTCAAGGAATAATGCAAAAAATCAAATTTGACTGTTAATTTATTGTAACCACCTAGTCGTGCCATAGGTCTATCCTTAAAATAAATATGTTATTTACCAGAAAATATAGCCTTTTGTTGTGGAGGAGTTGGAGCTATTTATATCCCTTTATGGGATATTCATCGTCGAAATATGTATTGTCAAAATGTTTAGAAGTTTCTGGTGAAGGGAAAAAGATCGATTTGAAATTATAAAAGCATTTATAATCCAATAAAAGTCTATGTTTCTAAAATATTTTAAACCAAATGCCACTTCCGGATTAAAATTTGATGTAGCGCGTCAATCAAAAATAGCCTATAACTTCTTTGTAGTCAGGTTTGCGAATGGGGGTAGAATTTTTGGAATCTTAAAACATTGTATAAAAGATTCCTTGTCAATTCTTTAACATTTTTCAACAGACAAAACCCAAAGCAAATTAGGCTAACTAACAATTTGCTGACTAAGTTTTTTGTAAACGAAATAATAGAAATACCAGATAGCAACTAGATGAAAAATAGCCATGTCAACTAGATGAAGCACTAGCGCATTGGAGACAATAAAATATAAAATTTATTTTATGAAATATTTTAATAACAAAAATAATGCGTAACTGTAACAATTTAATAAACCAACAATATTTTAGTCAAAAGGATGTAGAAGTAAGAATTAAGAAATGATTGAATCTAAATGGAGACTTTAAACATTTAGTAATAAATTAGCAGGTAATAAAAATTGTGAATTAAAATATTGTGGGTTGATTAAATTGTTTCTTTTGTTCTTAAAATAGTTCATAAAATAAATTTTACATTTTATTGTCTTCAATGAGCTAGAGCTAGCTTTGTTGAGTTCCACCAACTTTAAATACCGACCTATATTGGGTCTCATCAGTGTCGGGCAATTTGGTGTAGTGTTACACACCCAAAACAAAGGACTTCCTGATCTTATATACTGGGTTGGAAAGCCGACAAAGGCGAGATGTAAGAACATCCAGAATAAGCCCAACCGGGCCAAACATTAAGGTAAACATTCAAATTTCTTAGTTTTTTTAAGAAACTTTCTTGACCCATTACTGGTAATATTTATAAAAAAAGATTTGTTTTGAGTGCGTTCCACCAACTTCAAATACCCACAGACAGCTGTTTCGACCTACATTGGGTCTCATGAGACCCAATATAGGTCGAAAACTAAAAAAAATAATAACTCTAAAACTATTCACTTTAGGTAATATACCTATACCTGAATAATTATAATAAACGCTTTTAAAATTTTAAATCGATATCTCTTTTTGTTTCCCAAAATATCTAATGGAGAAAGAACGTAAAACGCCCTGTATAAAAAAAATGTTGGCCAAAAAGTTTATGTAAAGGAAAGAAACTGGTTGACATATAATGAAAACAAATAGAAGCCAATATAAGCCAGCCTTTATTATCATTATTTTTACATACATTTTTACATTTTTAAAGAAATTTTTTTCCCAAAAATTTTCGAGAATTTAGTACGCACAATAGAGGGCATTAAAAGTAACGATCCTTTACTACGCATGTAGTAGTATATCTAAGTATATCTTTTTTTTTTTCATGATGAGATGAGTATACTGCCAACCGATATTGCTGTCTTAGATATCGCCAAAGTAGTCTATAGCTCTCATTGTTGGAAAAATATATAAAACCAACTTGATTTACATTGAAGATAAAATACTGCTTTGAAGACTGTAATTGTCAACTTATCTAATTTTTTCCAAAGAGTGAATTAGGTCCCAAGTCTTTTAATACAAAAAATTATACCTTTTCTGGTAAATATTTAGCCTTTGGCAAGACTAGGTACAAAATTTGTATTTACTATTAGTAATAAACGTTTATAGGTAATTACAACGAAACATTCTGGTCACATTTTGACCGACCTTCGTTTAATGTGAAATCTAAGGATAAAGATGTTTTTATCTTTTACAAATTTCTATTTATCTATGTTATCTTATAATTATAGTTTATTTTTTGATTGAGACTTCAGAT